ATGTTATCAATGTTACCTTCCCAAATGAATTAATATTTTACTAAAGTTTGATGTCACAGGCACTTTAACCATCATTATGAGTTTGGCCAGTTTGCTGTAGGTCAGATATAAATATAAGCTGTCCTTATTGTCCTACTATTTCTTTTTTTTTAAGTTTGAGAACCACCGGTCTAAAAACAATGCGATGAAACAGTAATTTGAAATAATAAAGGCAAAGTTCATTTGGATGGTTTCAGACGTATGTGTTTATCCCTCTTGAAGGTTTAAGAGGCCATCCCAGAGTTCACTTCCAGCGCAGAGCTTTAAGTCTTCCCTCCAACACGTCCTATGCCAACCTGACAGCTCTGCTCACCGTGGCCAGCTCTCCCTCACACATCCAGCACTTTCCTCACCTGCAGGTTCTCAGCAGCAACGGTACAGGTGAGGTTTGGACTTGAAAGACTCTTTACAGAAACAAAGCCTGGCAGCACAAATGGCAGAAAGGGAGTGAATAACTCGTGTGTGTGTGTGTGTGTGTGTGTGTGTGTGTGTGTGTGTGTGTGTTCGCATTCGCGCTCTGCATACTTCGGGGAATCTTATCTTATTGATATGTGCAGTAATATTTTAGAGTAATATATGAGTACTTTCCGACAGCCCTCTTCTTTCCACTGCTTGTATTTTCTGCTTCCACACACCACAGGCAGGTTTATGCATTGTGACACTCAACCTCAACTTCCAATTTTTTTTCCCACCCTGGTTTCCTTATTTCCTGTTTTTCCTTTGTTTTCTTTCCTGTCTTAACGACTCTCGTTTATCTAAGCAGTTTTTTTTCTGTCACCTCCCCACTGTCTGCTCTAGTCTCCGTTTTCCCCTCCCGCACCTGACTTTACCCCTGCTCACTTTCCTTTCTGCTGCATTTTTCTCTTACGGCTCTCCTGCTCACACTCACAGGTGCAGAGAAGAAGAAGTTCGAGTTGACTCCTGTGGCAGCCATCTCTGTTCACCTATTGGCCAGTGATGGAGTGGAACTGCAGGTAAACGAGCCAATCACAGTCTCTGTGCCACTGCCGGCCAACAGCGACCTAAAGGAAAATGATCATATTCCCGCATGGAGATTTGACCCACGTTTAGGTATGTACAAATCATTAATACACAACTGTAGGTAGATAAGTGTTAACACCGCTAACCATCCTAAAAGTATAGTTCTGCTGTCGTACTTTTGTATTAAACAACTAGCTAAATACTCGCATAATAAAGATCACAAGCCACATTCTTATACCTCAGGTCCCAGTTTGTGGCTGTTTAACAGAATGATTTATGAATAACATTCTTCACAAGTCACGCAGTAACCAAAACCCGGTGCCCCCAATAATCTGCAAATCAAAGTTTGAACCGAGAATGCATAATCTCCTCAGCCTCTGCTCAACCGTGAACTGAGCAAACAAAAACAAAAGGCTTTGCAGCATCAGCTCATAAATCTGAGGAGCTTTGTGCTTCATTGTACAATTTTGATTTATTCACAAAATACTGTGCTGTCAAACATCCCACTGAGGGACACACCCACTTACTTTTGTCAGGCTGCTTTGAAAACAGCGAACAGATCTTCAGTACAGTCAAACAATAAAAAAAATGTTTCTCTGCATATACAGTATTAGTCCCACATTTCCAGACATCATATTGTGCTTAGTCTTTCAGGACTAATTAAAAAAAAATTTGGGCGAAATAAAAACACTTTGTCGTGTTTAGAGTCAAAACTGTTAATTACAGACTAGTTTAAATGAAAATCACACAGAACTTTGTTCTCACAGGCCACAGATGCAAACTCTAAACATGTTCTGATGTTTAACCACCTAATTGTTGCAATATTAATGCATCGTCTTAATTTATTCCTCATGCTGAATACACCATTTGCTTTTATTTAAATTCTTTTCCTCCTTTTTAATCTGTTCTTGGTCTTCATCAACTCCAAAAACAGTCTAAACTTCAGTACATAAACGCTTTGCTGTGTTTACCAGTTGTTTTGTCCATCCATCCATCCATCCATCCATCCATCCATCCATCCATCCATCCATCCATCCATCCATTTTCTTCCGCCTATCCGGGGTCGGGTCGCGGGGACAGCAGCTTCAGAAGGGAGGCCCAGACCTCCCTCTCCCCAGTCACTTCCTCCAGCTCCTCCGGGGGAACTCCAAGGCGTTCCCAGGCCAGCCGAGAGACATAGTCCCTCCAGCGTGTCCTGGGTCTTCCTCGGGGCCTCCTCCCGGTGGGACGTGCCCGGAATACCTCACCGGGGAGGCATCCAGGAGGCATCCTTACCAGATGCCCGAGCCACCTCAACTGGCTCCTCTCGACYTGGAGGAGCAGCGGCTCTACTCTGAGTCCCTCCCGGATGACCGAGCTTCTCACCCTATCTCTAAGGGACAGCACAGCCACCCTGTGGAGGAAACCCATTTCGGCCGCTTGTATCCGGGACCTCGTTCTTTCGGTCATGACCCAAAGCTCATGACCATAGATGAGGGCAGGAATGTAGATCAACCGGTAAATCGAGAGCTTCGCTTTCTGACTCAGCTCTRTCTTCACCACGACGGACCGGTACAGCGCCCGCTTTACAGCAGACACTGCACCAATCCGCCTGTCGATCTCCCGCTCCCTTCTTCCCCCATTCGTGAACAAGATCCCCAGATACTTAAACTCCTCCACTTGAGACAGGGCGACCCCCCTGACCCGGAGAAGGCACTCTGCCCAGTTGTTTTGTTTTCCAGTTTAATAAGCAGAGAAACACAAGAAAAAACACAATTTTAAGTATTTTTATTTGCACTTAAAATATATTAGAGACAAAATAGAACTTCATTGGTACTGTGTTTGTGTACAAGACAAAAAAATGTTGTAGCTGCATACTGGAGGAGGAGGTCTGCAGTCACTAAGTGGGTGTTTCTTGGTGTGTGGGAGGAGTTTGTCAAAGACTTGATAGGTCTGTTTGTCTTTTGTGGGAAGAGTTTGTGAAACGAATGATTGGTTGGACTGAAGAGGCCATAATAATTGGGTTGGATGAATGCTGGGCATGTGGGGGTGACGTATAGCTTGGTTGAAACGGCCAGAAAGCATCTATAAAAATAAATAACATTATTAGTCTTAACTGGAGACAGGAAGGTGCAAGCCTCATGAAATTTGACTGCAGTACATGTGGAGGGACGTACCAATTTGGCTTAGTCGAACAGCCCTAAACTGCATGGAAAATTATTTTTTTAATATGAACAATAATATTTGTCTAACTCGAGACAGGAAAGTGCTAGCTGCATAAAAATCGAAGTGAATAAATTATGTGGACATATTCACAAAAAGTTTTTAGATTTTCTATTTTAAAGTCAATAAATAAAATAAAATTTACACATTTACAATAATTTTGCTATTACCATTACTTCATTTTTTAACTTGTCCCATAAGACAAGTCAGCCCGACCAATCACAGTTTTGCCAAACTCCGCCCACACATAAGACCCTCCACCTATATTCCAAACTTTGCCAATCACAATTAGGACAAGGTCTTCCCAAACTACAAACTCCACCAATCCCGGTTAGGACAAACTTGGCCTAAACCAAGAACTCCACCAGTCATGGATAGGACAAACCCGCCCACACCAAGAACTACACCAATCACGGTTAGGACAAACTCCGCCCACACAGCCAAGAAAGTCCCCTTATGTACTGAGAAACCCTGACTTGGCATGCTGACAATGAACGACAAAAAGAGAAAGAAGAAAGCAGAAATTGAACCAAAGAAGTAAATTTTCAAGTCAGAAACTATAATTTTGATCTGAAAACTGGTGAAACTGTAAGGAAGTGTGAAGCTTGAAAAATGCGCAGAAAACCCAATCCAGTCCTCAGTTAAATGTTTTTTCTTGGGTCCTTGGGGTGGTTCCTCTTAGATTAGCATTAGAGGGAGACACACATTAACAAGAGACTTGTTGATCTTATAATTTTTAAAGTAAATCACTAAAATTTTTCACAAAGTATAAAATATAAGGCTGTATCTAAATTTCAGTTCATTAGAAATGATTGGATTTAATACAATGAGTGACGGGGAGGAATCTACTTGTAGCAAATTTAAGACAACTGCCCCAGCTTCTCAACTTTTTCATTTTTTTTAGTTGAACACTTTAATGAATTAACAAGATAAATGACATTTTAGCTTAAAGTGTAACTTACCCCCCTGTGAAAAGATAACTCCGCCCCAAGGCGAAATTTGAAAAATGCATCAAAGTGGGTAGGGGAGGGGGTGTGGGTAGGGGAAGGGGGGTTAGAGAGCGGAGGTGTGGCCAGCACGAGAGATGAAATCTCCTGCTGCGAAGCAGGAGGAAAGGAGAGAGGGAAAAGTAACTTATAGCAGCAGAATAGGTTGGAAGAT